CCCAAGGGATGTGACTCTGAGCAAGCTCTGGGAGATGATGAAGGGCAGGGAAGCCTGGTGTGCTGCAGCCCATGCGGTTGCAAAGAGTTCGACACGACTGAGAGACAGACCATGTCCATTGAGTCAGTCATCATGAAAGGGTTTAGCCATCTCACAGCAACCCACTAGGTGGCACTGTGTCAAAGTCTATGAAAGGACCTTGCTCTTCCATGTTCTAAGCGAGACCTCTCACCTCCCTTCCACGTTCTGAAATATCCACCAGAAGGCAAGGACCCATCTGATCCTGTGACCGCTTAGTTTTGTAGCCGTTTGTCTCTTGATAACTACAATATCCTGACTATCTCCTCCTCACAAGATTATTAAAAATTCAGTTCAGTTCAGTTTGGTCGCTCAGTGGTGTCCAACTCTTCTGACCCCATGGACTGCAGCACGCTAGGCTTCTCTGTCCATCACCAACTCCCAGAGCTTGCTCAAACTCATGTCCATCGAGTCAGTGACGCTATCCAACCATCTCATTCTCTGTCATCTCCTTCTCCTGCCTTTAATCTTTCCCAGCAACAGAGTCTTTTCCAGTGAGTCAGTCCTTTGCATCAGGTGCCAAAGTATTGGAATTTCATCATCAGCTTCAGTCCTTCCAATGCATATTCAGGACTGATCTCCTTTAGGATGGACTGGTTGGGTCTCCTTGCAGTCCAAGAAACTCTCGAGAGTCTTTTCCAACACCACAGTTCAGAAGCATCAATTCTTCAGGACTCAGCTTTCTTTATAGTCCAACTCTTACATCCCTACATGACTACTGGAAAAACCATAGCTTTGACTAGATGGACCTGTGTTGCCAAAGTCATGTCTCTGCTCTTCAATATGTTGTCTAGCTTAGTCATAACTTGACTCCCACGGAGTGAGTGTCTTTTTATTCCATGGCTGCAATCACCATCTGCAGTGATTTTGGAGCCCAAGAATATAATCAAGTCTGTCACTGTTTCCACTGTTTCCCCATCTATTTCCCATGAAGTGATGGGACCGGATACCATGATCTTAGTTTTCTGAATGTTGAGCTTTAAGCCAACGTTTTCACTCTCCTCTTTCACTTTCATCAAGAGGCTCTTTACTTCTTCTTCACTTTCTGCCATAAGGATGGTGTCATCTGTATTTCTGAGGTTTCTGATATTTCTCCCCGCAATCTTGATTCCAGCTTGTGCCTCATCCAGCCTGCATTTCCCATGATACGCTCTGCATATAAGTTAAGTGAGCAGGGTGACAATATTAAAAATTACAGGAGTTTAAATTCATAGGTAAATGTTCAGCTTTCCTTCTTCCTGGAGGCGTTTAACCCTGAATGACAGCGAAATTCCGCTGCACCCAATGCCCATTGATCAGCTGTTCCTTACTCTAGGAACCACTCCTTTTGTCTCCAGGCAAAACATTGCTTTCTGTTTCTCTCCCAGGACAATTTATAAACATTTCTAACAGAATCTGTTACCAGTTTTAATTGGGTTGTGCGTGCTAAGCTGCTTCAATCATGCCTGACTCTTTGAGACCCCATGGACTGTAGCCTGCCAGGCTTCTTTGTCCCTGGGATTCTCCAGGCAGGAATACTGGAGTGGGTTGCCATTTCCTTCTCCAGGGGATCTTCCTAACCCAGGGGTTGAATCGTGGTCTCCTGCATTGCAGGCGGATTGTTTGCCAACTGAACCACCAGGGAAGCCCATTGGTGTGATCTTCAAAATTCTTTAAAGTGAACAACTTAGTCTAAAGCAGAGTCTGTGGCCTTGATTTTGGACAAATACAAAGATATCCAGAAAAAAGTAGGCCACAAACAGTTACTCTGGGATGATAAACAATTGTATGTAATAATTTGAGGGACTTCCCTGGTGTTCCAGTGGTTATGATGTACTTCCAATGCAGGGGGCATGGGTTTCGATCCCTGGTGGGGGAACTAGGATCCTGCATGCCTCAAGGCGTGGACAAAAAGTATTTTTTTAAAATGTAATAATTTGAAATCAGCCTGACTTCCTTTTATATTTTCTCCTGATTTTCATCCTCCCTACACTTTCCTGGTTCTCTGGGTGTCATCTAAAACAATCAAAGGAGGCAGCTGGCCTCACACCTCCAGACCATGAGTAAGGAATCCAATTTAGCCAGAATGGACTTCTGACTTACAGAACTGTGTGACAATAAATGGCTATTGTTGTTCATCGCAGCACTATTTATAATAGCCAGGACATGGAAGCAACCTAGATGCCCATCAGCAGACGAATGGATGAGGAAGCTATGGTATTATTACTCAGCCATGAAATATTACTCAGCCATTAAAAAGAATTCATTTGAATCAGTTCTAATAAGATGGATGAAACTGGAGCCCATTATACAGAGTGAAGTAAGCCAGAAAGAGAAAGACCAATACAGTATACTAACGCATATCTATGGAATTTAGGAAGATGGTAACAATAACCCTATATGCAAAACAGAAAAGGAGACACAGATGTACAGAACAGAATTTTGGACTCTGTGGGAGAAGGCGAGGTTGGGATGTTTCGAGAGAACAGCATTGAAACATGTATATTATCTAGGGTGAAACAGATCACCAGCCCAGGCTGGATGCATGAGACAAGTGCTTGGGCCTGGTGCGCTGGGAAGACCCAGAGGAATCGGGTGGAGAGGGAGGTGGGAGGGGGGATTGGGGTGGGGAATACTTGTAAATCCATGGCTGATTCATGTCAATGTATGACAAAAACCACTACAATATTGGAAAGTAATTAGCCTCCAACCAATACAATTAAATGAAAACAAATAAATAAATGGCTATTGTTTTAAGGTGGAAAACAATTACGAATTAATAGTGTCATTTTATTCATTGACCAGGTGGGTGGCATCTATCCACTCATCTTTATTTTACGACCCAGATGGGCATACGGTATGTCACTTTGTTTGCTGTTTAATTCATTGAAGACACCTAGAGAAGACAAGACTTGTTTTCAACCTCAGCCATGATGCTTCTGTAAAAAATTAATAAACAGAAACTTCAATCAAATAGAGTTGGGAGGCCAGAGTGGGAGCGCTCATGCACTTTAAAGGACCATAGCAGAGCACAACAGGAAGAAGGAAGACTCCTTTGCTTTCCTGGCAAGGTTTCAGCCGATGAAAAGCCAAGACCACTTTTCTAGAGCCCGCCCAACCTCCTTTTCCCGTCTATAACAGCGTTCTCCTTCCCTTGCCCATTGGGGGCTTAATACCAAGCTGTTAACACTGCAGGGTGGGGAGAAGCCCATGACAACTATAAGCAAAGGGTAACAGAATCTATATTGCCGTAAAGCCTCTACATTTTCCTGTGGTCAAAGCAAAAATTGCACCCAAAACAACTTAAACAGGGGACTTCCATGGAGGTCCGGTGGTTAAGACACCAGCTTCCACTGCAGGCGGAACCCTGCAGGTTCCAACCCCAGTGGGGACCTAAGAACCCTCATGGCCAGTGTGGCTAAAAAAAAGGGGGAAAAAAAGTTAAACAGGCAAGGAAGATGATATGGAAGACTACTGTAGTAATGGAGAAAGGCTAAGACTCAGTCTGAGCTCAGCTGAAACAGAAGGCAGGAGAGTGTCTCAGGGCTGAGGTGGGCTTGACCTATGGGGTGTGTCCAGCTTCTTGAGATATCCCTGAGTTCACAATGGATTTTCTCTGTGATTAGGAGATCTCTGGGTGTTATTTAGCACCCATGGAACTTAGACTTCTCCCCCGCGAATGGACTAGGAAATACACAGGGAGTATAGGTCCCTCCCACTTGCCCAGGCCGCCATTTCAGTTGTCACCCCAGCAGATCTCCTTTCCATTGTAACCAGGTGAGAGGGCAGGAGGACCCGCAGTGCTGATGTCAAAGCTGCCATCCCATGCAGCGGCTCCTGAGCAAGGTACCCTGCTCCCCAGAGTTTCCACTCTGCTGGGCAGGGACCGATCCTGTACAATTAGAGCTCAGCCCGGGAGAAGGGGTACGTGCCCTGTCAAGAAGCTCATCACTCTCAGGGCAAAAACCTCCAACCCACAGACCCTGGAGATCTGGGAGCGCCCCAGTTCGGCAGTGCATCCCTAGGCCGCCCCAGGGACACAAACACACACACACCCCCGCCCCAGGGGCGCGCACACACACACACACACACACACACACACACACACACACACACTGACACTCCCCCGCGCATGCGCCATCTCTCCGGACCCTTTGCGCGCCCCGTGCACGGGCGCCCATTCTTTGCTCACAGGCTCTCGAGCTGCGTCCCAGCAACGCGCCAAACTGCTCACTTCACCTTTGGCTGACTTGGCAGTTGAACCAGAGCTCTCTGAAGTTATCCCTCTATCCAAGCGCCGACCACCCACCCACGTGCCCTATGGGCACTTACCTGGGCAGGCCCTGCCCCTCACCCCCACCCCGGGCTCTGGGGGGCCAGCACCTGCCAGGACGGCTCGGCTGCCCCCAGCCCGATCCCCGCCCCCGCCGGTTTTCCGTGGCCGGCCCAGGTCACCCAGCTGTCCGTGCCCCGCTGTCCACTCGCAGGCCAGCCCACAAGTATCCGGTGACTCTGCATCTGCGCTTTGTCCGAGCGTCTCTGAGATGGTGCTGTATGATCCCGCAGGCCCTGCGCTCCTTCCTGGGGGTCCTCACCTCCCTCTGCAGGCGACACCATCAGAGGAAGCCGGTGCTGGGTGCTCGCATCTCCACGATGTGCCGCGGCTCAGCGTCCGCAGTGGGCACGGTCCCTGGGTGTGGTGGGCGCCAGCAGCAGGTCACCCCCGTGCCGCCCACCACACTCAGGTGTGCCCCGGGCTCCTGCACAGAGAAGACGGTGAGGAGCGCCCTGGGAGAGAGCGGGAAGGGGCTGGCCCAGCAGGAGGGAGACCCCGCATTCAGACAGAAGGACCATCAGAAAGGGGGTCCCGATGGCTCTCGGGGTGCACGGTCAACATTTAGGCCCTTTGGGGCCCGGGGAGACTTCTCTGCCTTCGTGCCCAGGCCTGGGCCTCTGCGGAGAAACCTCCACGCCGAGAGCTCGGTAGACACATCCGCCGAGAAACTCCAGACCTCTTGTGTGAGCTCCTGCCCCCAAAGAAACGCCATCACGAGCTCCCACAGCTCCACCCGAGGTTTCCCGCCAGGGCAGAGGAGGACGGGCCCCCGCATGCCGCGAGGGCTGCCCCGGAGGTCCTCGAGGAAAGCGAGCGACGGGGGCCCGGCGCCGCCCTGTGCCGCCCCGGTGGCTTCCCAGAGCAACAGCCGGCCTGAGGACGCGGAAGCTTCCAGGGGGCAGAAACGCACCTGGGAGAATGGCCCCCCCACATCGGACAGTCCCAGGCCCGGAAAACGCAGGTTTCCTCTGCTGCCGCGCAGGCGAGGGGAGCCGCTGAGGCTGCCCGCACCCCCTGAGCTGGGTTTCCGAGTCACCGCCGGAGACCTGGACGCGGAGAAAGCAGCGGCGCTCCGGCGCATCAACAGCGCGCTGCGGGATGAGACCCCGTCCCCGCAGCCCTACCGTCCCTTCCCCGCGCCGGCCGACCCTCCGGTCCCCGGCAGGGCTCCTCGGCCCGAGAGAGGCCAGAGGGAGTCGGCCTCCCCAGCGCCAGTAGACGCCCGGGAGTCTGCTGGAGGGGCCCCCGCTGCGCATCCTTGGTCAGGGGGAAGGCACGGCTCCTCCCGGCCCCTGTCTCCCAGGTCCCAGCCCCTCCCGGGCCCTCCTTCCCACTCACGGCCCCCCGGCCCTTTCACCTTGCCCACCCAAGCTTCCTCCCCAGGATCGGGCAGCGCGAGCCTGAATGCTCGGCCGCCAAGCCCCTCGGCCCCTGCTTCGGCCCCCGCAACAGGCACGGCGGGTGCGAGGGGAAGCCCGGCTCCGGCCTGGGCCCCGGGTTCGGCTTGGCTTCCCGGCTTCCAGAGGCCCGTCCGGGGGCCTCTTAGGAGCGCGGCAGGAGGAGGAGGCCTTTGCCAGCCCCCGGCGTGGGGCCCGGCTGCGGAAGATGCCACACAGGCCTTCCCTGCAGCGCCGGGCTCCTCGGGCTTGGGGTCCCCCACACCCATGTGCCTGGACTCTCCTGTCTTCACCCGCCATAGCCCCCCTCCCGTATCTGATCCTCAATCCCTGCTCCCCATCGGCCAGCTCATCAGCCAGCTCATCCGGTTTTCTCTCCAAACCAGACCCTCACCCTGCACATCTGGGGGCCTGACTCCCCACCCCGCTTCTGACACTCAGGTCACCCCCATGGACACCAGTCCACCCTCCCCGTCTCCCCTCTTCGGGTCTCCCCCTGGATCCAGCAGGAGCCTCTTCCCATCTTCCCAGGCCCTGCAGACACCCCCCAGGGACAGCGCGGCCTCTGCCACGGTCAGCACCAGCCTGCCTGGACTCCGGTTCAGCTGCTCCTCTCACACCAGAGCCCCGGCCCAGCCCACCTCTGGGGTCCCTGATGTGCAGCAGCGCCGAGCCCCCGCCTGGGGCCACTCACCACACTGTGGAAACCCGGCAGCTCCAGCCCTAACGGGGAATCCAACCTCTGCTCCAGGCCCCCCAGCTCCACCCACCAACTCCCCCATGGGCACCCGTGCCAGCACCCAGCCGGCCTCGGCTGCATTCCCAGCTGGCCCAGCCCCTGCCGCTGCCACCTGCGTGCCCCAGGCCGTGCCCAGTGCGGGGCCCCGCAGCGGGCCGCGCTGCCCAGCAGTCAGTGGATCACGCACAGCCCCCTGCAGGCCGGGGGGCTCGGCCGCACCTCGGGGCGTTGGAAGTGGAGCGTCCGTCCTGGATGTCAGCTGCCTCTTTGCTGCTCTCAGCCTTTCAACACAGAGAAGGGGAGCCCGGAGAACCACACACAGCAGAGCGGGAAGAGTGGCCCAGAACACCGGGGCCTTCCTGGCCAGAGCCCCCCCATGGTGATTATGGGGCCCAGGGATAAGAATAAGCCCACTGCTAAGAATAAGCCCAGCACTCATGAGAAGCCTGGCTTTGGAGGTGCTACTGCCCCCATCTTCAGTCACGTGCCTGGGGGTGCCCCCGGGCAGAGCCCCCATACTTCCAGCCGAGAAGACAGCCCACCCCCAGCCAAGGTTGCCTTCAGGGGCGTGTCCACCCCAGCCTCTACCCCCAGCAGCCCCAGCTCCAGGGGCTCACAGCCAGGAGACGCCGTCCTCTTAGGGACCCGTCAACCTGCTGAGGACTTGGCTGGACTCAAGACAGTTGAGCCGTCAACCAAGTCCTCCTCCTCCAGGGCGCGGTCCACTCTCCTGGGGTCTAAGAGGCGGATGAAGACCTGAGCCGAGAACTTTGGGGACAGACAGTGTCTACCTTCCTCCCAGGCTAGGCCTCGCGTGAGCCCTGTTTCCATTGAAACCCACGTCTAGCCCTCACCCCTCTACTTCCAGAGCAGTCCCGGCACGTGGAGATACAGCACTCGTCCCCTTCCCCCGCCTGCCACCTTCCCCTCTCAAAGGTGGGTGGTTCGAGGCTGTTGCCCCATCCCAGTGCTCAGTCCTCAGGACAGCAGACAGAGGCCCTGGTCCTGCTCCCTCCGCTGCCAACCCCCTCCCCCGTTGCCTACAGCTCACTCCTTCCCTCTCCCTGTCTTCCTTCCAGAACCCTCATGTTAACTTCATCATGTAAAATTTTTTTCTCATTACTTGGCACAGTCCTTATGTGTCAAGGGAACTGTTGATCAAGTGTGGGAAAGTACTGGCTTGTACGAGTGGTTGGGCTTCCCAGGTAGGGCTCGTGGTAACCCAAATGCCAATGCGAAGAAACACAGGTTCAGTCCTTGAGTTGAGAAGATCCCCTGAAGAAGGGCGTGGCCACCCACTCCAGTATTCTTGCCTGAAGAGTCCCACGGACAGAGGAGCCTGGTGGGCTACAGTCCACGGGGTTGCAGAGTCAGGTACGACTGAGCATGCATGCTTCCGCTTGCTTACTTGATGATTGCAGAGAAGGGACAAAGCCATTGGTTTAGTGAAATAAACATTTGGTGACAGAAGTTAGAAGGGCCTGGGTCATCCTCAGGAATAGTCCCGGGGTGGGGTTTCTAGGGTGGGGCTCTGGAGAGGTCCCTCTCAGAGGAGGAGACGGGAGTCTGTCCTCTGCTTCTACAGGGTCTGGGGATGGAGGAGGAACCTTCAGGGCCTGGACTCTGGTGAGAAAGGATGAGTAGGGAGGGTGAGCTCTCAGAGCCAGTGCAGGCCAGGGCCCTTCCTCAGGCCCTCCCCAGCCCAGGCTGCTCAGACAGTGGCTCACCTCAGCAGTCCGTGAGAGGCTTCCCTGGTGGCTTCCCCCAATAGCAAAGAATCCACTTGCCAGTGCAGGAGACAGGGGTTCGATCCCTGATCTGGGAGGATCCTACGTGCCTTGGAGCAACTAAGCCCATTCACCACCACTACTGGGCCTGTGCTCTGGAGCCCACGTGTCACAACTACTGAAGCCCTCCTGCCCTAGAGCCTGTGTTCCACAAGAAGAGAAGCCACTGCAATGAGGAGCCCCCTCACCACAACTCGAGGGCAGCCCCTGCTCTCCACAACTAGAGAAAAGCCCGTGTAGCAGTGGAGACCCAGCACGGCCAAAACTAAGTGAATAAATTAAAAAAAAATTCTTTAAGTCAGTAAGACATTGAGGGTCACAGACTTAATTCATTAAATTCCCAGTGTACCAGCCTAGATGGCTACTTTTCCAGTTAAATTTGTATGAACTGCTTGCGCATCCAAGGCTCGCCCGTTGAAGGGAAGTTAAATCTTGGCAGAGCCATCATGTGACAGTTGGTTTGGAATGTCCTAAGTTCTGAGCCAGCTTAGGGGTCAAACAGACCGCTGGTCACGCAGGGTGGTCACCTGGTCATCAGGAAGGCTCAGGCGTGAGACAGCTGACAGTGTGAAGACGCTGGGGTAGGATGAACACATGGTTGGACTTCCCCTGGTCCTTCAGAGGGGCTTCCTTTGGAGATATCTGTCATGTTTGGGGTCAAGGATTAAATCCTAGAGGTTGGGGGCTGGCTCAGGGTTTGAGCCATTCTTTTGGCTCAAGACCTCCTCCGGGGTATCAGTTCTCTCCCCGCAGAAACCCTGGGGCAGGATATTTTGAAAAAGAGGGGGAGAGGAGCCCTTGGTTGGCGAATAGGGCATCATTGGGAAGTCTTAGAGATTCAGGGATCTCCGTCCTCAAGGAACCAACTACATTCCTGTCTCAGTTCCATCATGCATCATGTGACTCTGGACGAGGCCCTTAAAATGTCTCAATTTCAGTTCTGTGAACTAGCAAGCCACACCAGTACTCTTGCCTGGGAAATCCCATAGACAGAGAGAACTGGAGGGCTACAGCCCATGGGGTCACAAAGAGTCGGACACAACTTAACGACTAAGTAACAACACCACCATGTGGGCTACAGCCCCTGCACTGTCCCCGCCACGAGGCTGACATGGGGAGTCATGGGAAACATTTAGGTGTATTCTGCACGAGCCTCAAAAGCACCCTTCCCATGTACAGGATGAAAAGTAAACATCCACCCTTCCCTGTCCTATAGCTATCCAAGTCCTCTCTCTGGAGGCAATCCGACCCAGTTTCTAGCTTTTGCTTCTGGACATTTACTGAGCAAGCACTTAAAGAGGACTTCTGAAGTACTCTTTCTTAATCTTTCCTTGTATTTAACCATTTTAAGCCTCACACCGTGATACTGTAGGCTCTATGTAAGAACAGTGCAGAGAACCTCGGGGAGAGGTCAGTTCATCATCTTCCTAGGTTCGTGCTGCTTCTAGAGGAATTTGAACCAGTGCCCATGTTCTCAGTTTATATTCTCCTGCCTTCCTATGTTGCCACATCTGAGTAAAGGTATCTGGTGGACTTCCATGGTGGTCCAGTGCTTAAGACTGTGCTTTCAATGCAGGGGAATGGGTTCGATCCCTGGTCAGGGGACTAAGATCCCACATGCCACATGGTGAGGACAAAAGAAAAAATTAAAGGTATTTACCCACATCATCTCTCCCTTGAGTGTTTTAAATGCACCCCAAGCTGAAAGATCTTCTTAAAGCCCAAGTTTGATTCAGGAGGCTCTGCTAGGCAGCTGGTCAGATAAGGGGATCAAAGGTTTCAACTGGGAATAAGTTATCACTGACTTTCCTGGGCTCTTCTGCCAGCAAGATGTCAACAGCTCTCTTTGTTATGAATGCATTTCCTAGGATCTGGCCTGATGAAGACAAAAGGGAAACTTGATCCTCAGTCAAGAAGATAGGCACCTCACCCCCAGCAGTGGGTCAGAAAAGTGGGCATCCTGCCACACCCCAAGGTGCACCCTACAAACCAGTCAGTTGAAGGTACTTTAGAAATTCAGTCTTTAAATAGACTGCAGAATAATGATAGAAGTTTATTTAGTACACTGTGTGTAAGAGAAAACTATAAAAATATTAAGCCATATTCTTTTTTTTCATGTATGAAAATTTAAATGTGCCAAGTTATTTGTGCCATGACCAGAAAAGTAAAGGTGTATTTACAACTCAGGTTTGTTTACATGTAATAGTCAACAATGTCTGGATTTTAATGTTTGAATATTAGCTGATGGCTGAATATTAGCAGAAGCTTGTCTCTCCGTGAAACAGTGCAGTTGTTTTTTTTTTTTTTTTTAATTAATGGATGTTAGTACTTAGGACAGGTTTTTTGGGGGAGTGGTTATTTTATTTTTCCTTTGGCTGTGCCAGCTCTTAGTTGCAGCATGTGGGATCTAGTTCCCTGACCAGGGATGGACCTGGACCCCCTGCATTGGGAGCACGGAGTCTTATCCACTGGACCACCAGGGAAGTCCAGTAGTGGTTAAATAGTAGGATATCAGTAGTTTCAAATCTTCTATAATTGATTATATTTATGATGAAATGTTAGTCGAATGATAAAATAGATTATTTTGTCTAGAATTCAATCCAGTCCCCCAATCAAAGTGTGCTTGTAATCACCTGCAAAATTCTAAGGAACAGATATCAATGTGGTAGCAGCCTATGTGAATCCATGGAGGCCAGTGTGGTTTTGGCAGATGTTAAAAATAGAGCAGTGGGCACTTGCCTAGGAGTCCAGAGTTTGAGACTTCGCCTTCCAGTGCAGGAGGCGTGAGTTCTATCCCTGCTCTAGGAGCTAAGATCCCACATGCCTAGCAGCCAAATAAAAACAAAAGGAAAAACAAAAGCAATATTGTAACCAATTCAATAGGCTTCAAACAGACTTTAAAAGCAGTCCACATCAAAAAAATATAAATAGCAATTTAGCTGGACTTCAAAATGGGCAGGATGAGTGATGGGACTCGGTCATTGAATCATAACATGGAGTTTAGTACCATTTGTACAATGATATAGGTTGCCTTCAGCTGAAAAGCCAAGGGCTCTGTCTCATTTCTTTTTTCCTCCTCTCCTTTGCCTTCCCTTGTCCACCAAGGCAGTTGGCCCGGCAGCAGCTGAGTCATGCTTGTTTTACCCACCACATCCATGCAGCCTGTCTCCTTGCCCAAGGCAACAAAACCTCTCCAAGTCATTCCTGAGCAACACCACCAATGACTGACAGTCACTCTGTGTCCCCCCACCCCCGCCTGCCAGACTCCCCTGAGGACCTTTTGGAGGAGCTCCCTCATGACAGAGCAGAGGAAGAAACCCTATCTAATGCCAAGGTAAGGTCGCTTGTCTTTGTCTCAGATGGATGTGTTGCTTTGTGCGTTTATTTCCTGTTCAATTGAATTCACCCGTGAAAATCTGACAGTGAAGATTATCGATGGT